TGTCCATTGGATGCAGTTTGGAAGAGCTGTTCCTGATCCTCAGGTAGTTTTGATAATGCAGCTTGATCTGAGAGCCCCAAACCAGGGAGTCTCCAGAGGGACTCAGAAGAGGCAGACTGTAAGGAGACCAATGGGAAACAGCACAGTTCCCAGTTCCTGGTTATTTAATGGGGATTTGAGGTTAAAGAATTTCCCCAGCCCTTCAACTGACAGCGGAAGTCGAGGCTTTGGCAATGTGTCTCCAGTGACAGCCGAACTCTTTCCCCTGTACCTGTAGGCACAGGAGAAGGGTGGGTGGGTGGATTTCAAGGTAAGCAATGATGTGGGCTCAGGTGGAGGAGGGAAGCTGGCAGGAGAAGGTGGAGATGCAGAGGGGAGGGCAGGGATGCAGAGGAGAGTAGGGATACAGAGCGGAGGGCAGGGATGCATAGTGAAAACTAATTTCCTAAGTAGTGGAGTGAGAAGATCCAGAAGGATGGTGTAGGCTGGAGAGCGATCAGGGAACACACACACCTGTCCGAGCCCACAATGCTGGATGAGTTACTGTCTGCTTCCACTGGGTTTTGATCACAGAAACCACTAGCAAGCTCCTTGGTGATGCTGGGAGTGGGTGTCTGATCCTACAATTCAGTGCTATGACAGGGATGGAGGGCAGTATCTGAAGACTTTATTCTTGTTTCAGTTTAAGGCATATCAAGTTCTAATTGGTCACCAGAGATGTCCAACAGGTCAATGTGTTAAAAAGTCCCTGGGATTCAAGAAAATGAATCAAATGTGACCTTTAAAAAACTACCAGAAAACTGCTCACAAGGTCCCTTGGAAGCCAGAGAACAGAGCGCTTCTACAGAGCGCGTGATGAATGAGCCCGCCCAGCCCTGATCCAACAACTCAAATACAGTCCTTATTCTTACCTGGGCTCAAATGTAAGGGTTCATCTATCTAAAGGACCTAAAGGGAAGCTGGTGTGACTAGCGTGACTGAGAAGAGCTGCAAGTGTAGACTGTTTGTCTTTGAATGTGGGAAGAACCACAATAAGATTCTCTTTTTTTCGTATTTTTATGAGTACGGCTCAGTGATTTATATACTTTCACCATTGTGCAAGTCATTTCAGATTTTTTTTAAACTCGGTGTGTGTGTGTGTGTGTGTGTGTGTGTGTGTGTGTGTGTGTGTGTGTAAAGATAAGAGGAAAACTTGTGGGGTCAGTTATCTCCTGCCATGTGGCCATGTGGGCCCTGGGTATGGAACCACGGAGTCAGACTTGTTAGTAATTACCTTTACCAAATGAGCCATGACACTAGCCCCTGAGTTTACCTTGCATAATATGACGAGATCTCTCTGCTTAGATTCCTGATACATCGCTGACCCATCGTGATGGTCAATAGTTGCTGTCAGTCTGAATAGACTTAAGAGTCCCCTAGGAGACACTCTTCCGGGTGTGTTTCTTTCAGAAGGAGTTTAACTGAAGAGGGAAGAGCTACATGTATGGGGGCTATACCATCCCAGGGCTGGGATCTCAGGACGAATAAAGCAGGGAAAGGGAGAAGCCGAGTTGAGCATTCATCTCTCTCTGCTTCCTGACAGGGAATGTCATGTGACAGCTGCCCACGTCAGGCAGTCACGGGCCATGGCGACTGAATCCTCAGACCAGGAGCCAAGATCATCCCGATAGACCTTGTATTCCGTAAGCCGCTTCCTGTCGGGTGTTTTGTTACAGTAACAGGAAAGTTACTAACTCACTCCCCATAAAATGAACATCACATCTAGGTTAAAGAAACTGATGTATCTTTTGTTATATGACATTTGGTAAACATAACCATGGCCTATAACATACGAGTAGGTTATGATAACACAAACCCTCAAGAAGTCACCACCCAATACAGTTCCTTTGGACTGTGGGTGAGCTCTTTCCCCCAAGGTGAGTTAGCTTTTTATAGCACAGTTTGGAAAATAGACAACTTAGGTACTGGGCACTGTTCTCCAGTTCGGAGTGACTCTGTGGCTGCCTTCCTCTTCACCCTGGTTGGGTTCAGTGGGAGAAATGGACGTGAGTAAACCCTGGAAAGACTAACAGTGTGGCCTGAGAGGAGAGAACAGGGGATACTGCTGCAGAAATCGAGGTGCAGCAGGAAATGCGTGCTCCCGATGGGACAACCATCAGTGGCGTATGTTCTGAAGACAGAGAACTGATGACAGCAGAGAAAGAAAATCTAAAAACCAGAAAATCCCAGCAAGAGGCAAGAGGATGATCACAGTGGTCGTGGTAGGGAGAAACACAGGGGCAGGTGATGACTCAGTCTGTAAAGCATGAACAAGACTCGAGTTCAATCCCCAGAGCCTATGCTTAAAACAAAACAAAACAAAACAAAAGATGAGATGTGTACTTATGATCCCAGTGCTGGGGAGGCAGGGACAAGACGACCTCGCTGGCCAGCCAACCTACCCTAATTGCTGAGTTCTGGGCCAAGGAGGGACCCTGTCCCCAAGGAGAGAGATGACATAACTGATGGCAACACCCAAGGTTGACTTTGGCCTCCACGTGCACATGTACACACATGCACATGTACCTGCATACTCATGTGCATGTACCTGCATAGACATGCAAACACGGTAGGTAGAAAATATAGCCAGGTATTCTCAGGATAGGGTGCTCCTGGAGGCTGCCCTGCCTCCACTTGGATGCTCCAGGAACTTTGAGGTTTGGCTAAGTAATGTGCTATGCTCTGGAGACCCGCAGGCTTAGTTTCCAACAGTTGCAGCTGGAAGGTGAAGGCGAGAGCTGAGGTTGGAGGAGGGCTGGGTTAGGAAACGCCTACACAAGTCACCTTGCGGAAGGGACTGAAGAGCCGTGAGAACTTGAGGTGGGCTGGTTATGGTGATGATCTGGGGGCTTTTTGGAGACAGCTGTATTAGTTACTCTTCTTATCATTGTGAGCAAATACCTGACAAGAGGTAATATGTGTGTGTGAGTATGTGTGAAAGTGTGTATGTGTGTGTGAGAGTGTGTATATGTGTTAGTGTGTATGTGTGTATGGGTATGTGTGTCAGTGTATGTGTATGTGAATGAATATGAGTGTGTGTGAGAGTGTGTATATGTGAGTGTGTGTGTTTATTTTGGCTCACAATTTAAGAAGGAATACAGTCCATGATAGTGAGGAAGTCATGGCAGCAGGAATGTGCGGCACTGGTCACATTGTGCAATCAAAAAGCAGAGAGTGGAGAGGAGGATGGGCCAGGTTAACAAACCTCAAACCCCATTCCTAGTGATCTACTTCCTCCACTGAGGCTCCACCTCCTAATGAGTCCATGACTTTTCAAAACCAGTGCCATCAGCTGGAGACCAAATGTTCAGACACACAAGCCTAAGGGGGACATGGGAGGCTGGTGCAGGCTTCAGTCTGGGCAGTTGGAGCTACTGGGGACAAGCAGGGGACAAGCAGGTCCAAGGATGCGATGACTTTGGATGTTCTGAGAGAGGAGCCTGCAAATGTGACGCCTGGTGGTTCCCTGTAATGGGGTGTGGTTCCTTGTAATGGGGCGTGGCTGGGTTGTTTACAGCCACACCAGGAATAGGGGACCACATGAAGTAGTCAGTCACTGAATTTAGTGACACTGTCTGGGGATAAGATGAGGAGAGGAGGGTTGGAGAGAACCTGGAGAAAAAGACACAGGATACAGGTGAAAGTGAGCAGAGATACTGGAGGTATGAGCAGAAACGGGGAACATGGTGCCTACTCAGCAAGGGACACATGTGGGAGCTGGGAGGGGTGCTGGGGCAGTAAATTCACCAGCACTGGCCAGTTGGGATGGAGGTCACATATGCATTGTTTGTGTTTTCAGAAAGAGAATTTAAGGGCCTGATGTTTGGTCCCAGTTTGTGTCCCTGCCTTGGGTAAGTAGAGAGTAAAAGGTTAAGACTGATCTGTCTAGCGAGGAGACCTTGCAGGTTATTGGACACTGTGAATCTCATCCCAGAGAGATGCCTCCTGTGCCCACCCTGTAAGCCCTTCACGGTTCCAACTGTTTCCTTACCATGGATATACAGCTCAGTTATGGGGTCCAAGTGACATTCCCACACTTGGAGGAAGGGCAGGAAGAATGATAGAGGGAGGTTCGGGGACCATGGCTCACAAAGACACCATCTGTTAGTTAGAGGACTGTGGAGTGCAGTCTCTCAGGGTGGAGAAGCTTTCCAGAAACCTCTGAATGGGTCTCTGTGGGGAGGCCCTCTTTCTTGCATGGTGGTGACACTCCCATTCCGGAAACACATGACTTCATCCAGCCCCAGCCAGGAACCCCAAAGTGAGTGGTCAACACAGAGTTTGGAGGGCACTTGAAACACTGGGGTGCAGGTCAAGGGTCAGCAACAAGGGGCGGAGCAGTCAACAGCATCACAAACAGAATGCCTTGTCTGTCTGTCTCCAGGATCTTTCCTCACCCAGGAACCCTCAGCCTTACAAAGGAGACCACATGAAGACAACGCTGGCTGCCTTCCCAGGCAATGGGGACTTAAACCAGATAAATTCGTTTAAAATTATTTTGAAAATTGCAAAACAATCCTGCCTTGGATGACACTGCTTCCTGTCATGAAAAGTTTATTTTGGGAGACATTTATTACCGATATAAACCTAGCATCATATGAAGTATCAATAGATCCCAACTCCAGCAACATGCTTTTGAATAATGAACACCCCCAGCATCGGCTGCATGCTTTTCCAGTGCCAAACACATATGCTTTAATCTTTGCCTTCTACACGTGTGTACTCAATGGCTTTGCCATTGGTGGTCTTGCCCCTGCCCATCCTGACAACTCACACTACTCCTTGGTCCAAGCGACCAAGCCTGATTTATGCTGATTTTGTCAGTAAAAAAAAAAAAAAAAAAAAGGAAGCAAGATTTATCTCCTACTGTTGCAGTTCCTGGTCTCCCCCTGATCCCCACTGATGAACCTGGGGTTTTCAGGTGACCCTTGCCTGTTATGGCCTGAAGTTGGCTCACTTACCACTGTGCAGCAGAGAGGCCAGAACCACCAGAGCAGCGCCAGGGCCAGCAGCAGGAAGAGAATCAGCAGGGCAATTGCCAGGATGGAGCCATCTGACTGTGGGTGAAGAGAGGGTGGTCAGTGACAGGTGGGACACTTGGGGTCTCCCCTTCCACCCCCTCCCCACATAATGATGGTAAATTTGAGGCCTAGATAAGTTCATAGTGCAATGCAGACCTGAGTCAGACTATACCCATCATTCAGGGTCAAGGCTCCATAAATCCTCTCTTTGGCTGATTTTCGAGAGAAATAGATTTGATGTTTCAGAGAGCCTCTGATCTTTATTTTGGGATCATTCTGAATGATCCATCTTACAGGTGCAGAGGTGGCTTTAGAGTGTGCCTTGTCTCTGGGTACAGTCAGATTTCAGTCCCCAAGGCCTGGGGTTCTGGCCACCGCCTGGGCTGTTTCAGAGCAACCCTACTTAGGATTCAGCCCCACACCCTACCCAGGAGTGTGTACAACAGCCTCTTGGGTGTGGGTGGAAAGTCTAGAACCACTGATGAGAGGCCGCATAGGAAAGGGGACAGGGCCACTTCTGCCAGCTGGCAGGGGAGGGTAGTGTGGCTGAGAGGCTGGCAGTCAGCTCATGTGACTGTGTATGCCGGGGGAGTCAGGCAGACGAGGTCAGTTTTAACCACCTCTACACTCTCCCAGATCATCCTGCAGAAGGACACGGTTGCGGGGCCTGAGGAGTAGCGAATGTAAGTTCCACTTGTAATCAGCTGTCATCTTCTGAGACTGCTGATTCAGGAAGCACCTGGGATTATGAGTCTAGGTCCTTCCCTGCCAGCTACACAAGGCCACAGCTTCCTGGGGGCATGGGGCACCGCTGTGCACATCAAAAGCTGCGTGAGTGAAACTGGTAGCCCCACCTTTGGCCTAAGAAAACCATCAGGTATATTTGCTTAAGTTATAATAATACAAAGGGTGGCTGTACAAATCCTTAATGTAAAGTTAGCAAGCTGTCAGCTACTATGCTGGAACATGCTACCAAATAACACTTAAACAAGAGAGACATTTCCTGGACACTCGAGTCAAGAGCGAGGGACAGGAAGATTGTCTCTGCCAATCACTAACAATTTCACCAGTAGCTTTTTGTTTGTTTTGAGACAGGGTCTCATGTGGCTCAGGCTGACCTTGAACTCCTGATCATTTTGCCTCCATCTCCCGAATGCTGAAGAGCTAAGATTACAGGTGTCTGCCCTACACTGGGCATTTTCACTGACAGCTCATTGGTATGTACTAAAATGTTAAAGTATCTTCACTGGTAGGGTGATTGAGTTCTTTCTGAAATCTATATTTTCTCTTGCTTTAAAAAATTTTTCATTAATGAGAAATGTCCTGAGAGGCTTCTTTAGAATATTTGTGTGGAGGTCTCCTCTGGGACATGAGCACAGGGAAGATTATTCCGTCAGTGATCTGTGCGATGCGCAGAAAGGCTCAGGAGGATGGAGGCTTGCGACCTGGCCGAATCACCACCATGGTCTTCAGGGAGACCATTTACGGTGCTCCCAGGCTCTGAAGGCTGTCCCCCTCCCACAGCTACCCAGGAGGGCGGCTGGGTGGCCTGTCTAGGGTGACCCCACAAGCTAATGGCAGAGCCAGGATATGAGTCACTCCCACTCCGAGAGCTCAGTAGGACTCTGGAAGAGGTTTAAAGGCAACTCTCATTCCCTGGAACTCTCTGGAATGTCTTTGACCAAAAAGCCAGGGAACGAAACACCCTTGGCTCCAGCCAAGAAGCCAAGGTTTGGGAATGTGGGATTGCCCTCAAGGGAGCTAGGCCTCAGGCTCAGGTGCAGGGCTGGGCAGTCAGAGTGTGGGGTGGGGGAAAGCAAGGGTCCAACAGTAGACAAGGTCACGGCAGGAGGGCCCATTGGACGCATGTATGGAAGTCTGGAAGTCTGGAACAAAGCGTATTGTTAGCAGTGTTGATGAGAAGTCACGTGTTAGTTAAGGGCAAGTCTTGGGGTCTGTCTCTGTATTCTAGGTGACAGAAAGAAGTGAGAAAGCCACTGCCTCTGTAGCAACTGACAACAGCAGGGGCACGGGACAGGAGTGGAGAGGCAAGGGGCAGGCCTTTCCATACAAACGATCACTTCAAACTCCGAGCTGGAACTTTCCTCTGTTTCCCCATAGCAACCAACACAGTGAACATTTCAGATCGTAAACCTGTCTGCACTTGGAATAATAAGTGGTTTGGTCACCAAGAGGCTTATAAAACTTCAGCCTCCATAAAGACTGCAGACTTCAGCTATTCACATTGTACATGTCACCCCCTCCCTTATTGTTTCTGCCTCAGATAAACTTAGGCAGGGGCTGAGATGCTGCACAGCACGCTTCTACACTCCCATGGAAGACGGGGGCAGTTTCTGTGAGCAGCAAGGGCAGAGGACTGCCCCGTGGCGGGTGAAGAAGCTTCTAAGACATCCAGAGTGGACACTGGTGGCTGGTTCTGCAGCAGCCCCTTAGGAGTCGTATTCCACCTAACTGTAGTGGAGGAGGAAGAGGGGGTTTAGCAAGGCACCCTCTCTGCAAGCCAAGGCCCAGGGTGGGGTGTTTAAACATTTTCCTGTGCCTTGGAGAAAGCTGCTGCCTAGGTTCCAAGTGTTTCTTGAAGTCATCGGTGCCACATTCATAAATGTCACTATCAAAGAAGAAAGAATGCCCTTTGTTCTCTAGAAACTGTTAGACCTGGAGCTAACAGTTCATCAGGAGCATACACAGCGAGTGTGCATTGTGTCTCTGCTCTGTGCTTAGTGGGCAGAGCTAAGGGGCATTGATTGAAGTACCTAGCCAGCCTCAGTGTGCTCAGTCTGTGGATCAATCTAAACCACAGTGCAGGAGGACACACCTACATACCTGACGCTGAACTAAACACACTCTCTCTTTGCACATTCTGACGGGATGATAATGATAATGGCAATAAGAATAACTAAGAACATAACTAATATTTATTAGGCACTTGTGTGCAGGAAGTGTCTTTATCCTTTCTGTGTACTAGGCTAGCACATTTCATTCTTATCAATAATCTGATGAACTCTAAACTTTATTTTTATACCCCCACCCTCCATAGTTAAATATACTGAGGCAAGGAGATCCAGAGAACCTTTGAAGGCTTACAGAAAGGCCAGGGTTCTTGTTTGTTTTGTTTTGTTTTTACACAGAGGTGAAGTCTCACAGCCTCTCTGTAGCTCAGGCTGACTTAAACTTCCTCTTCATGCCTCAGCCTCATGAGCACTAGAGAAGCTAGAATTCAAGAGTGTGCAACCTGGCTCCCAGGTGTAAGCAGCTGGCCCTTGGCATTAGCGAGCTACCCTGTTCTGAGAAACAGTGCCTGGGAACCAGCGCTTCACACAGGAGGTGACTCGTGGGTGGGTAGCCACCCTGTAGGGACAAGGAGAGATGGGCACTCTTGCTCAGAGGCAAGCACGGAGTTTGCTCATGAAGTTGTCAGTGGGGATCCATGGAGAGGGGACTCAGCATGTGTCAGGTGGAAGCCAATTGGATTGGCTGTAAGAGGCCACTCAGGGCAAATGGAGGACTGTGGCGTCTATCCACACCCAAGGGGAACTCTGGGTAACTTTACCTTGGGGGTTCTGTGACCTCGTGGTCAAGTTTGTTTCCTTGGAAGCCAACATTGTTTATACTATAGAGTCACAGGGCAGGAGAAGTGTAGAGATCAGAGACCAAAGGGCAGGCTATGGCTCCCAGTCCATCAGGTTCTTATGGTGACTTTGGACAAGGTCACTCCCAAGGTGCTTGCCTTTTAATGAAAGTGTTCAGTGCTTATCTTACTGACTATGGCTGGCCAGCACCTTGTGCTTTCTAGATTCTCAGTGTGGGACTCTGCTGTGGAATAATCTTAATTAAACAAAAAGGGGGAAATGCTGTGGAATAATCCTCTTGTACACTATAAAGATTTGCCACTTGAATTGGTTTACTAAAATGCTGATCAGCCAGTAGCTAAGCAGGAAATATAGGTAGGGCACCCAAATTAAGGTTTATGGAAAGGAAAAGGGTGGAGTTAGGAGTTGCCAGCAGACACAGAAGGAGCAGGAAATGAATGTGCCATGCTAATAAAGATACTGCCATGTGGCAGAGTGTAAATAAGGAATATGGGTTAACTCAAAATGTAAGAGCTCGTTGGTAATAAACCTGAGCTATTGGTCAAGCATTTATAGCTTGTATTAAGCCTCTGTGTGGTAATTTGGGAAGTGGTTGCTGGATATTTTGGAATAGGCACTCAGAACAAGAAACTTCCATTTATAGGGCTCACTGCTTGAGGCTCAGAACTAGCTCAGTTGCTCTAACCTAGTCATTCCTTCTTCATCTTCATCAAGTCCCTAGAGGAAGATCTTTGTATCTCCATTCTTCCCCACATGCCAAGGTACAGACTCTGTCTGCGGCCAAGAGTTATCTAGAATGTTCTAGAATACACACCAGATTATACCCAGCCACTATAGAAGGTACTCTGTCTTGTGTTCTGTACCTTGCTCTAGGGCAGACTGCCCTGCCTCCTTGAAGTCTGACCTCTGACCTCCAATAGCCCTCAGTGTTCCCAGCTCACTCTTTCCCCTTTCTGTTTTAAATGACACCTGCTTCGGAAGGCTTCTTCCTGGCTGAGCATCCAGAAGACTCAAGGGCTACCACTGCACACAACCTGATTCTGGATCAGTGTGTGCTGGGCCTCTGCCCTGCCTGTCCATCAGGCCTATGTGGACACAGCCTGGGGTCTAGCCGGGCCATTTGGGCCAGTAACTGCTCTCAGGTAACTGTGTCTCCTAGGCCCTGTCTTGACTGGCTGTGTTAAGTCAGGCTATGCCCTCCTGTAAGTTATTACATATTGCGTATAACTGTACTTGTTAAAGAACGCCCTAGAAGACTCCATTTTACACATATCTACTGACCCCCTTTGAGGGAGGAGAAGGAACGCACCCTCTGGGTGTACCAGAAACTGCACCATCACTCAGGCACCACTGTCTGGCACAGACTGCTGCATGACATCTGCCTGGGCAGGGATAGAACCACCCTAGATGTTCACTGTGTCTGAA